GTTCGTTGACAAAATAAAATTTAGCTCTCGTGACTACTGGCGGCTCCGTAATAGTGCGTTAAATAAGATTAAATCATCTATCTCTCCTTTCTTTACTCAATAGGATGTGTTATCATCTGATAAAGATGGATGTTTTGCTCGTAAATTCTCTTCCACTTCTAATATTGATTCATTTGGAGTATATTTGCCTGACTTTCCACTTAGAATTGAGTCTTTGTAATATAACTCCATCCGTAATTTCTGCTATCATCTCTAAACTGAATTCCTACAAAGCATATGGATTTCATGGTATCTCTGTAATAGTTCATTAAAATGTGCCCCTGAACTGGTTCCTGTTCTCTCTAAAACCTGCAATAAATGCTTGGCTGCATTTTGCTTTTGTTGGGCGAAGACAGTCAAATCTAAAAAAATGATTTCTAAGTCGGTGGATCTGCGCATCCTTCCGGTTAATAAATGAATCCTTTGAAAATAAATATTTAACATTTTTCAATCAATGGATTGTGTGCCTGCCGACAATAACAAACAGGCTTTGTGATCACTTTGAAGAGTAAATAAGCAAAGTATATAGAACAGATATGTCAGTAAGTAGAAGAGACGGAAATATGCGACAACAAATTCACGTCGCATCGGTTTAAAAGCGATTCCCTTACACATTCACCGGTCATTCTCACCAAGCTACGTAACACTTAGACTTTCCTTCCCACTTTCTCCATTGCCGCTTTTTTCTCACACGTACACATGAAGAAACCATCGTAACAAACAACTACAAGCAAAGATCTTTAAAACAAGAGCATTCATATGACGCTGAGAAACATTTAATTCAAAAAACACGAATATAAAAAATCTATATCTATAAATCTCAAAATGTGATGTATGTGTTGGTTGATCGGATGTTGTTTATGCATTTCTACAGTTTTCATCCAATTTTGACGATTTTTTTTTTGTTTGATATATAATTCTTCAGTGGCGGTTTTGAGTCCAAATTGTTGGCGACATTGGCCCTCCACTAATTCCCGTCCATTATAACCCTCAGCAACGTTTTACTATTTAATATCTGTTCTTGGATATATATCTTTCATAAAAAACTTTAATAAAAATAAATAGTTTAAATTATTACAATAATATTATTAATTATTATACAGTTCCCTTTTCAGGGCCACTCCCCCCCCCATTCAAATTGTTAACCCCACCATTTGGGGATGTGCCTCAGTTGTTCCCAAATGTTGTTACTAATATTGATTTTCGGGTGGACTGACTTTAAACTTAAACTGCTCCAAATGAACGGCAAACTTTCAAAGTAATGAAACACCCGGTCAAAGACGGTTATACAGCTAATGTTTTATATATATATATATATATATATATATATATATATATATATATATATATATATATATATATATATATATATATATATATATATATATTTAAAAGATATTTTTGTAGGTACAAAATTTAATGATCGAAATAAAAGTATAAAATTTAATATTACAAGACATATTAAAACAATATTAAATAATAAAAAAAAACTCAACAACAAGGGGAGGGTGGAAGCAACCGGTTTCGCTCCCGCTCGTCAGGCTTCCACGGGAGATTCCAAATTAAAACAGAGAAATGTACAATAAGAAGAGGTGGAAAAAATATATATATATATATATATATATATATATATATATATATATATATATATATATATATATATATATATATATATATATATATATATATATATATTTTTTGTATATATGCAAGAAGGAACTAGAGGCAGATGACAGCGAGTCCCAGCAAACACTCACGTTGTTTGCACAAGAAGGCTTGCGGGACCCGATGTAAAAGTGCCTCCAGAACCTTCAGATGAAATACAGAGTGTGACCGGGCCAACACGGTGATATATATATATATATATATATATATATATATATATATATATATATATATATATATATATATATATATTAGAAGTTCTCTGCTGTGGTCTCAGACTTTAAGATCTCACACAAACCCTCTGATTGGACTAATTACCGGCCATGAGTTTTTTTTGTTTTTTTTTTTTTTGGCAAAGTACAAGACGTTCTAATCAACTCCGAATTGGTTAAGAATCTTATCTTCTTTAAGACTTCTTTCAGTAATCTCTAAATCAAATGCTGATCAGTTAAGGGCTATTACTGAACGAGTCTATGAAACTTTAGCTAAGAATGGTGAAGCACAGGCTGTTGATTTGGACATCTCGAAAGCGATATACACCTTTTGTCCTGTTCTTCTAGATCTTTTTGCATTAATACTTGTGTCCCCTAGGGGCTCTGATTTGGGACCTGTTTTCTTCTTAATTTTCATCAACGACCTTTCTGATGTCATCAGGTCTTACCTCGGTATCTATGCTGATCAGACAACTACTTTCTTCTGTGTTACTGGTAAGTCTTATTAAGTTCGATGAGGTCAAATTAGCAGATGATCTCAAAAATGACATACAATCTGTTGTTTACTGGCACAAGAAAGGACTTATTAATTTTATCACCTCCAAAACAAAACTGCTCTCTTTTAATTGCCAGAGAAAACCCATTTTTACCTTCCACAAGCATTAATTGTTGCGCCTTCTCAGGCTAAGCATTTCAATTAACATGAAGTTGAAATAAAATATTGAATAAAGTGCCGGAGTTACTGATAAGGGAATTGTTTCTCTGTGTCGTTCTATACTCTATCTTACACATCTATAAGTCTACCATTAGTTCATGCATTGAGTATTGTTGTCACATCTAGTCTGATGCTTCTGCTATGCATTTAGTGATTCTTGATAAAATCAAAAGAAGAACCTGTAATATTATTGGTTCTGACCTGGCATCTCGACTTCAGTTATTTCCACTCCGTCCTAACGTAGCTTCCCTGTGTATAAATTACTCTAGTTTGTAACACGTTTATTTATCATCTCTCAGTTGCGTCTCTGTATTTGGACAGAGTGCGCTCTGGGGCAGCTCCGTCAAAGGACTAAATCGAAACTGAAACAACTTATACTGAGAGGTGCCCAGCCCTGGGGAATAGCTGCCCGAGGCCGCGACCTTTCACTGCACCAGAAAGTGGGATCGGTGCTCGCACCGAACCCAGCTCAACTGACGGTTGCGCGAGCTCGGACAATTTTCGTTCCTAGCCCGGCTGTACGCGCTCGGGCTCCCAACATTAAACCGACCTTGTGTCAGAACCTGACCTCATGGAGGGTTGAGTAAATACAAAACAAACGTAGCTTCGGTGTGATTTTCCTATAAATATTTTCATAGTAATTGTTCTGATGAATTTTTTTCTCTTTGGTATCTAGACTTTACGAATTCAAGCGCTTTACGATACTTGCAGCTAAATCTCATCCTTTTACACCTGAAATGGTTAGATGTAACCGCATGTTTTATGCTAACAGTTTCTTCTCTCGTACTTCTCGCTTGTGGAACTTTCTTCCAGCCTCTTGCTTTCATGTTAACTTTGATCTTCAAAAATCTACATGCAATGTCAATCGGTATCATACGTTTATTCCTTTATTGTTCTCTCTTCTTAACAATGTTTTTTTTTTCTTCTTTTTCTCATCTTCTTTCACATTCAGTAATACCTCGTGTCTCCGTAGTTTTATTATTTTGCTTGGAGTGAAACGATTGTTATGAATCATCAAGAGTTGTCTCCCCTTGTTTTGTTACTCACCTCTCTTTGAGAGAGATATTTCTGTTTACTGGGACTATAAAAGGACACTATACGCAAACCTTGTATTCTCAGTTGAATAAAGCTTTCTTAAAGCCTACATCTGCCTACTTTTGTCATTACAACGATTAGAACAAATTCTCTGTAAAATTTACAATGTGGCGCTAGTTCTCAATTTCAATGTGTCGTATCTATTACATGAAAACCGGAGTAAATCACCTGAGCGATGGGCTCTCTTAGGCAACGCGATCAATTGGGAGGGGTAGGTTTAATTGGCTTAATGCCAGCTCTGATATTAGGGTCTGTACAAACAGAATAATAAGAACAACTGCTATAGGCATTTACATACTGATTCTTTTGCATAACATCATTTATACACAAGTACATTAACTTTCGAAGATTTTTTTTTATTTTTTTTTCTGACCGATATTACTCCTTATTGCTCTAAATGATATTTTTTGTAATAAGAATTAATGTTAAGCATATTCAGGCCGAAATACTAAAATGTGTGTCAGTAAGCGGTAGACAAAAATAATGGAAACTTCCTAACCGGGATCGTGAAAAAGGAAAATGCTCACACACACACATATATATATATATATATATATATATATATATATATATAACGTCATCCACAGAAAGACTGTTTCTCAGCTCATCAGTGTGGCTAGACATCCGGTTGGCTCTAGCTAGGATCGAAACCCGACTGAATTGGTGTCAGTCAGAGATTCTACCAGTAAGCCGTCGGCAGGGATGAAGTTGATTTTTAGCGTATTTCTTTTTAGAAACACGCCTAGTGACCGACAGTGACTCAATTCGCTTTTTGCGAAGAGTCTCATATATATATATATATATATATATATATATATATATATATATATATATATATATATATATATATATATATATATAATATCGGCCATAATATAAGAAACGGAAACAACAAAGACATAAATATGTGTATTACTTAAAAAATAATGCATGAGTAGCAATGAAATTTTTACCGAATAAATATTAGGGTGTAATGCCTAAATATTATACAAAGTTACAAAAATTTACTTAATAGTTTTTTTTTTTAAAAAAAAGGTCTAAAATAATGCCAGTATAATTATACTTTAGACGAGTCCATCTTATAATATATATATAACTACGCACCATTTTTTGTCTAGCTAAGTCACACACACACAGCACTCCATTCAACAAAACAAAGTTTAAAATAAACACAAATATATCATGATGCTGGCCATTATCGACGCGACTCTCGTTTTCAACAGATATATGCAACTACGTCCGTGTGTTTTCCTTATATAGGCTATGAGAAAAACCGAACAGCGGAGAGAGAAAGCAGAGGACAAAGAGAGAGAGAGAGAGAGAGAGAGAGAGACTTCACGCACACAGGCTAACCATAGAAGATACCCGAGACCAGGGCTCATTGTCTGTCCGAGCATTAGTCTGTAAAACGGTCTCCCGTGAACACAGAAAGATAATGGACTTCACTATGAACGCGATAATCTCGAACCAAGAGCCGCAACTGTATATATATAGGTTTTATTGATTGTCCGAATAGGTAACGTTACTTTTGGTTGAAATTTATAAAATATGAAAATGTCGGTTGAAAAATATAAAATCTGAAATTTATAAAATCTTTTTAATACAATAATTATTACTCTTCTATTATTGATGAACGTTTACTTCCTAGCCTTTTGTTTAAAGTAGTGTAAATATCAATATCTTGACTTTTTTTCATTTTCTTTTCGCATTATATGTCCTATGGATTTTAGTTTCTGTCGTTATTGACAGTCCTGGAGTGATGTGGTATCTAATATTTGTGAAAGTTCTATGTTTGTTATTCTATAGCGCCATTATTAATAATTGCTAACTCAGAGAAAATATACGTTGATTATTGATTATACGTGTGGTTGGGGGAGAGGATGTGTTGCATGAGTGAAAGACAGAGAACAAATTGAGAACGGTATTAACAGACGGACAGAGATAGATACATAGATAGAAACTTGGATAGATAGAAAGAAACAGACTGGCAGAGATAGATAGATAGATAGATAGATAGATAGAAAGAAACTTGGATAGATAGAAAGAAACAGACTGTGATAGATAAATAAATGTTACGATATGTATCGTTGAAGAAAGTTAATGTGAAATTAAATATATATATATATATATATATATATATATATATATATATATATATATATATACTTTTGTCTTTCCTTATATCTGAGAGGCATGATGAGATAAATATCCAACTGCCTTCCTTGCTTCGATAGAAAGAAAGAAAGAAAGAAAGAAAGAAAGGAAGAAAGAAAGAAAGAAACAGACTGTGATAGATAGATAGATAGATAGATAGATAGAAACAGACTGGCAGAGATAGATAGATAGATAGATAGATAGATAGATAGATAGATAGATAGAAACAGACTGGCAGAGATAGATAGATAGATAGATAGATAGATAGATAGATAGATAGATAGATAGATAGATAGAAACTTGGATAGATAGATAGAAACTTGGATAGATAGAAAGAAACAGACTGTGATAGATAGATAGATAGATAGATAGATAGATAGATAGATAGATAGATAGATATGTATCGTTGAAGAAAGTTAATGTGGAAATTAACCAATATATATATATATATATATATATATATATATATACTTTGTCTTTCCTTTTTTCTGAGAGACATGGTGAGATAAATATCCAACTGCCTTCCTTGCTTCGATAGATAGATAGATAGATAGAAAGAAAGAAAGAAAGAAAGAAAGAAAGAAACAGTGATAGATAGATAGATAGATAGATAGATAGATAGATAGATAGATAGATAGATAGAATCAAAGAGCATGCCCGATGTCAAAGATACCATATTATACATCTGCGTGCCTGTCTCAATTCCGATCTGTATTTACAATCTCACCTTACTGCAGATGCCTCTTTCCAAGATGAATATTTTATTTCCGGGTGTTGGATAATATAAGAGTGTCCCGTTTTGTCCAACATCCAACCCAATAATTTTAGACGTTATAGTCGTGCGAAGCCGACATTTTGGAGACAAGATCCCTTGAAAAGTCACAATCAAAATACGTGTATCGCATTTTCAAATCGCACAAACGCTTCAGATTGGTCACCTGGAGTTGAGCTGTGTTTAACTAATACTTGCATTCAGTTCGATCTACAATGGACCTTCAGCTTTTTGAACGCTGATTTTCACAGCATGGTTTACATGAAGAATTAATGTAGTAATATTTTCCTATTTCTACGCCTACGATTTAAATTTTTGACATACCAAGATCACACCTACACAAGATTATTTTACACTATATATTAAATTTTGTCTTCTCTTCCAATTAACTCATCACAATGGCACTTTATGATTTTAAGCGCAGTACTAGAATAGTGACGAGATGCCACCAATTTGCAGTTGAGTTGCTTCGATGGAACCGTAAGTTCTAGGCTAACAGTTTCTCTACTCTTCCAGTACCATGCTTTCCAGTTAACTTTAATCTTCAAAAATCAGCTGTCCTCCTGATTACTCTGCCTTTGTTCTTGCTCCTTAATAATGTTTGTTTTCTACTTCATTCACACCCAATAACCCCCTTCTGTTTTAATGGCTTTATTTGCTTGGGTGAACTTGATCAAACAAAACAAAAAATAGGTAAATCGACAATATAAATCCGAAGGGGTACTTGAGTAGCGAAAGATGTCTACTAAAAATATGAAATATTATATTAAGAAATATTAGGCAACATCAGGAACAAAGAAAAGATTGCTGATCTGCTATGTAATATCAATCATTCTCTATAGCTGTGAACAATGGGCGATTTTATTCACTGATGAAGCGGGGACGGGACTTCTTCTTCTTCTTCTTCTTCTTCTTCTTCTTCTTCTTCTTCTTCTTCTTCTTCATTAGTCCTATTCTTACTCTCCACTTCTTCTTCCTCTTCTTCTTCTTTCACTGCTCTTTGGACTGTCATAGCTGAAACTCCTCTCTCACTTGCCAAATGTCTTATGGATTGATCTGGATCATTTCTAAATGATGTCTCTTTTTCATCTGTGATGAGATTGTCTAACATTTACTGCCAGATTGGAAGATCGGTACTACATAACAGTTATGTACTCTTTTCTTTGTTCCTCATGAAATTTTCATGTTTCTTAATACTTTTCTTATCTTTTGGAAGGCATCTTTCGCTAATCTACTGCGCCTTCAGATTTCGGTGTCGCTCTTGCCGTCCTCCGTTAAAATACTTCTTCGATATTTGAATTTTTGTACTTCCTTGATTTTTGGCATATCCAGTTGGTAATTCGCTTGTTGGGCTCTTCTTTTGACTGACAACCATTTATTCTGTCTTCTTTCAATTGGTGTTAAGGCGTCTTGATAAACATAAGCCTATCTGATAATTCAACTTCTAATATAAAACACAGGAAATATTTTTGAGACTGTATTTTACCAGTCTTTTAAAAATATCATCTTTTTAGCATTTTTTCGGTATTTGAGCAAAACAATAATATCCTTCCCAAATGAGAGTTCAGACCAAGATATTATCACCGCCATATTTGTTTCTTCACCTTCATCGATTCCTTGGTGGAAAGCAGATTCTCCTTGATAATAATCATTAAAGGGCCATTTTGTTTCGGAACAAAATGAGCCTGAAACATGTGACAGGAAATTTGTAAAATTAACAAGAATGAAAAGCATAAAAAAAGGATTTAGTAAAAAAATAAATAAATAAAAATGACTGACCGAAAGGGAGAAGAGTAAATAAAAAAAATGAAAAAAAACTAATTAAAAAAAAAGAATTTGTTGGGTCAACCGGAAGTAACAGTGCAAACATGGCAAGCAAAAGAAAAATAACATTGCTGAAAGTGAACGAACCAGATAGAAAATTGCAGTGTGAGTGAAATGACGAAACCGTGAGTGAGATTTAAGTAGAAAGAAAGAAAGAAAGAAAAAGAAAGAAAGAAAAAAGAAAGAATGAAAAAAGAAAAAAAGAAAGAAGAAAAAAAGAAAGAAAGAAAAAAAGAAAGAAATGTATTCATCAGTAACGGAGAATTTAATATGGATGTACATAATCCTGTGACCTGATATGCGCGAATATTGTTGAAAGATCGTGACAAAAAGCTTGTAATCATTACGAATTGATTCCATGTTAACAAGCAGAGAAATGAAACATACGTTTGACACAAAAAGACACGCAAAATCACATACAAACATTTTCAAGTTTTCTTTTTAATTTATATTAATGGTCACCAAAAACAAGGCCTAGAATCTCCTCAAGACAGAGCCTTACTATGTGATGTTGTATGAGTGTAATAGAAAGCAAGATGCACTATACGAGGTTATGTACGAAAAATAACGTTGAACCCTTAGTCTTGAAGATGTCAAGATTGTATGATGGGGAAAAAACTCTACCGGGAATCTTGGTAAGAAGCTGACGGAGCGGAACAAATGAAATTCTAAGGAAATGAGGAGGATTCACTCTTGTGTAGGTGGCACGGCGAGTAAGGAATTGTATTTTTTTAAATCACACACATACGCATATATATTAGGTTGTTGCTTTGGGCACCTCGATGTGGTGTAATGGTTATAAAACTTGTCTCACTAGATTAATTACGACTGAGCCGTGAGTTCGTTCCTTAGTGGGTGTCCCATACTTACGGATTTAGGCCACATCTAAGCCGGGCTTAGAAAATCACTATATTACGTTGTTCGAAAATAATATCCAATTTTTTTTAATTAACTTTTATTCCAGAATTAATGTATAGAGTGTTCCATTAACTTGGACCAATTTTAAATATGAATTAAGTTTAAGCATCTAATGATTTTTTTCTATTTTCAGATTTAACAACTTAAGTCTTTGGCAATTTCAACCATGAAAAGATTAACAATCAAACAACGTGTTAAAGTTATCGAAGCCTATTACGAAAATTGGAACACGATATATTTAAACAGTCAAAATAAGAAACCTGAGCATCTATACATTTCTGCCATCGTGTTACAAGTTATTTTAGCTCTTTATCACAAAACTCTAAAATTTTGAATGCTAAAAAGTCTTTGAATGCTGTATTTGCTTCGATATTGCAACGTAATGTCTCTTGGCTTAAAATATTATCAATATACTTAGAAAAAGTGGTAGTCATTAGGCGAGAGGAATATGGTGGATGCAACAAAGTCTCGTGGTCCAAATCGGTAAGCTGTGTCAGTGTCAGCCTGGCAACATGTGGCCGAGCGTTGTCATGAAGCAGAATTGGACTTCATTGCTTAACCAGTACAGGTCGCATTTAGAGGAAACTGAATGTGCACTTCATCGACTTGCTGGCAATAAATTTCGGCAATGATACTCCAGTTAGAAAGCTAAAAGCTTTAATAGATAACGCCAATGGCGGACCAGCAGACAGTCAGCATAATCTTCTGTTGGTGCAATTTGGGTTTAGGAAAGTGTTTGACTGTTTTGTCATGATCAAGCCATTTGGTCGATTGTCATAATGTATTCCTTTTCCGACCAGAAGTGACTATGCAATCAACAAATGGATCATTCGAATTTCGCAGATGCAACATCGAAGACTCTTCAAAACGCCGGACTTTTTGACATTCACTGAGTTTATTTGGAACCTATTTATAAAGTTTCTTCACCGAGACAGTTTCATTTAGATAGGAATTTATTTCTATTAAATCAATGATTTTCCTGTTTTCTATGCATATTTATTTATTATGCATCTGTATACAGTTCAGTCAGTTATGTGCCATGCGGGATACACGCTTAGGTGATCATATTTATTTAAACTGTTCTTATATCGTTGGGAGGGGGTCATTTCTTGTAATGACTTCATCCATCCTGGGTTATGCTTTATTATCCCCTTTTCCACACAATACCCAAAGTATTCAATGTTGTTACCGCCTGAATAGTTGTAGCAGCATTTAAAGTTATTTTTTTCCTTTACGACTTTCAGAAATTCTTGGACATTCTTATTTTCCCATTAAGTCTCATTGCCAATGATATTATCAAGATAAGGTTGAGTGCCTTTAAGGTTTTCTTTTATGATCTTGCCCATTGAAAGGCAATGCTCACTTCAAAATGAAGCCTAGTAAACTGATAAAGTTGACTGTTGGCCTCGAAAGCGGTGTTAACCAAAGAATGAAAAGTACTTGTATTTGGCAAGATCATCAATCCTCGGCAACGGGTATGGATCAGGTTCCGTGTATACATTTATTGTTTGCAAATAACCCACACCTAATTTATTACTGTGCCTTCTGGTTTCTTTTTAAACAACGACGACTTTGGTACGCCATGGCGAAATACTTGGTTCGATAATTTTGTGAGCTAAAAGTTTATCTATCTCCATATCGATAAATTACCTGTCTTAACTAAAACGTCTAGATTTCGTAGGTACCTGTTTGAATATAGATGTAATATTTTGGAACAATGTGGGTTCTACCATCTCTGCAGTCTCCAAAGCTGAACACGTTCTTGTATTTCAATAAACCAGTTTAAGAAAATGGCCACCATATTCGAAAATAACTTTTCGGCGCTGACTCTAAAAATCCCTCCCCAGCAACACAAGACTTTTATAATACTTAGGCGAATGGCCGAATATATTCTATCATTAAGTTTAAGGCTAACAACAAAAAATCTTCTGCATTGGCGCCATAGATTTTCTTTGCGCCATAGTTACTGATTTTGAATTTAATTTTAAAAAATAAACTGTATTTTCGCTATTAAAGGTTTCGGAAGAACAAGAGTCAATCAAGGCGTTAAACATTTGTCCTTTTATAGTTATAATTGTCGCAGCATATGAGAGTCCCCACAGCAAATGTGCTTTACTTACTGTTATGTTGGTATAGAACAC